AATTATTAAATTGCTATCTTATTTGTCTTCTACTTATGATATTATTGTTTATATAAGGTACCGGTTTTTAACGGTCAAATACCGGTTAAACCAATAAAGTGCGAGCCATTCACATTACCGGGTCATAGTCCGGTTCGGTTCTGACAACATTGCTCAAAGGGCTAGAGAGGCTGAGAAGGACTTAAGAGAAGTACAAGAGCTAGCTTTCTTTAACCCTTCCTCTGACTTACTTGAGCAAGAAGCAAAGCTTGCAGCTGACTGTCTACTTTATCAGAAAGCTGAAGAGGGTTTTTTAGACAAAAAGCAAGGATCCAAGTAGTCTCAGAGGGTGATAAGAACAATGCATATTTCCATCAATCTTTAAAGATAAGGGAACACACAAATACTATCTCACTACTAAGGAAGGATGATGGTACAGAGATGAAAAATGTAGAACATATTAGTCAATCTTTACATGAAATTGCTTGGCGAGAAAAATAGTGCAGTTCAGTCTTGTTCAACATAGGAGATTTAGTAGCTACTATACCACAGACTGTCTGAAGATGAAGGAGCAGGGTTATGTTCAAAAGTTTACAAGATGACATTCCATTCCAGGATGACGTCTTACGCGTCTTTTTTATTTTTGGCCAGTAGTAGTCTTGCAGGAGGATCGTCCTTTCAAGGGATATCGATCCCGCATGGGTGGCGCACGTCCCTTTGTGTATCACTCTCAACGTCCATTGCGATTCTTCGGGGCCCAGGAATTTTAGGTACGCTTTGGAGAACGACCTTTTGCATAGTTGTCCATCTATCATCGTGTATCGAGCGGCCTTCCGTGACTCTTGAATAGGCGAGTTTTCGTGACTCTTGCTTTGCATATGGTGACCTTGATGGTGATAGACCTGAGGACACACACCTTTGTTCCAGAGAATCCACCAAGCTAGTGTTAGTGGGTTGGAGATCTTGGACACTCTTCTTTATTCTTTTGAGCGCTGAATAGAAGAGAATATCCGTAGAGCTTCCATTATCTACCAAGGCACGAGTGACCTTGAACTTTGCAGTCCTGAAGGAGATGACTAAGGGTTCTTCCGCATTTTCTTCTTTGGCCAGCTCAGAGGGGAAGAAGACGACGTCGATTGGTGTCTTTCGTTGGACGTTACGGCAGTGTGCAATGCGATCTCCTTCAGGGGTCGGGCACTTTCTACTCCCAATGATTGTTATGTTTTCCATTCTGTCTTCATTGTTACGAGGTTTTCTATAGGTAGGAGAGTGTCGCTGAGGCGAGAGTGCTTTGTTCCTGGAGGGGGATCTCGATCTCTCCTTTCTATACCTTCTTGCATTGTCTGACTCTGTACTTCGAGATCCTTCTCGTTTTTCTTGGTATTGGTCCATGTGCGGTCTTCGTGTCTCTAAACGACTGCGGAGGTCTCCCGGCGCCAGATACTTGAGGCTAGCTTTGAACTCCTTACACTCTGTGGTGTCATGGGTGGTGATTTTGGGCCAGTTGCACCACTTTTTTCCATATTGCTCCTCCTGACCGAGAGGCACCTCCCATTTCTTTCCACCTCTTCTTTTCTCCCTTCCTCGCTCTCGGTCAGTAGCAAATACATACCTTCTGTTGTCACGCTTTGAGTATCTGTTTTGATATTCCTTTCGCTCCGGGAAGGGTCTTTTGCGTTGAGCGACTCCTCGCATGAGTATCAATCTGAGGGTATCATTGTCGACTTCTATCATCAGCGGTCAATGCTTCCTCGAGCAATATCGCTCTCCGCACCACCTGATCCAACTCTGTCCACGAGGAGAGGATGGATTCCTTTTTTATGACGGTTCTTATGAGCTCAGTGATGTTCGTGGACATTGTGATATTGCTCGCAGCTACCACCAGGGAGATGGCTTATATCTCGCATTTGATTGCATTCCATCGGTCGTAGAATTCCGTCAAGGGTAGGGATGTCAATCCAACCCGTAACCATGGGTACCCTACCCGATCGTAACCGGTCAACGAGGGTAATTACCCGCTTTGACGGGTTAAGGGGCGGGAACGGGTAATACCCGGTTTCAAAATAAAGGGTAGGGTACGGGTATGGTAATCGATAATATCCGCCCCGTTATACCCGCCCCGCTAACCAAAGGGTCAATTTCCCGTGAGAAATTTAGTTTATCTTGAGAAATTGAGTTTAGCTACCATTATTGATGATGAAGATGTAGACGATTATTATGTTTGTGTGGATTGTAGAAGAAAGAACAATTATTATGTGTTTGTTGTTTTTATTTGTGTGGATTGTTGAAGCTAGAACAGTTACAGGTATTGAGAATTATTAATGGACAACAGTATGTAGGGGCATATATGTGTATAAGTTCATAGTTTAGGATTCGTACCCATGGTTACCCGAATATCCGTGGTTACCTGGTGGGTAGGGTATGGTTATATAATTTTCATACCCGGTGGTTATTTGGTCGGGTATTTTAGAAGGCTCTACCCGACGGGTTAGGAGTTGGTATAGGGTAAACCCGCACCCGACCCTACCCATTGCCATCCCTAGTCAAGGGTTCCCTGTTTTCTCTGTATGCAATTTATAAGGAACGAGACGATGAGCTTGCGACATCGCTAAGACGCGAATTTCTTCAAGAACAGCATCGCGAATTGCTCAAAATTCTCAATTATCCCTTCCGGGAGGGAGGTGTACCACGTTCGGTATTGGCCGCTGAATGTGACTGGGAACGCACGACACAAGTCTGAATCTGACACATTGATGAGCTGCATCTTTAGCATAAACGCACAAAGATGGTATGTGGGATCTGAGGTCCCGTTGTATGTGGGTAGTCCTAGAGATGAAAAGTTAGGGGGAATCGGGGTCTTGAACAACTCTTTCGATAGAGGATTTTGAAGGACATTCGGACTTTTTGTTTTCCGAAGGTTGACCACAGGTGCTCCTCAAGAAAGTTGAGGTATGCGTCTTCCACCTCGAGTCCCCCGCACTCTATCTAAGCAAGGCTGTCAGGGACGTGGATGGTCTTCTATTTCTCTTCCCGCATTCTCCCCTTCAACCCTTCAGCGGGGTCTTCGTTTGCCTTCAGGAGCTGGAGGATTTGGACGAGGTTGTCCTGCATGCTTGCGATTTGTTGGCCTTGACTTTTGACCACATCCTCTAGTGTCGTTTCATCTTTGATTCTCGGAGAGAGACCCTGAGGGTGTTGTTCCCGATCATTCCTTTGAGAAGGGTTTCAAACTCATCCCTCATCCTTTTTGTAACGAAGTCGTGTGCCCCAAAGTGGGCGCCAAAATGTTAGGGCTTGATTAGTACCATACGGTTTGTGAGACTCACGAGTTATGAATGATCTTTGATCGTGGTGGGCGGTCGCGTGAACCCTGCAAGAAAGTTTTTTAGGGAATCCATGGACCTCCTCTGATACCAAAGTTAGTGAGAGAAAGTGATCATGTGTAAACAAGAGAGAGAGAGAGTAGTAGTTGGAACTTGGAAGTTACCATAAATGTTGTCATTCGGGGGTATTTGTAATAACTCTGGCCGAGGTTTGGGTATTTAATGGATTGTCGGGCATTCTGGGACGCCTCTGGTTTCATTAAATGTGTTGCTAGTACAAATCCTTGTCAGTCTTTATACAGAATAGGTCAGAAGGTCGTTGGACCTTTATGTCTGGCGGTCTTGCCAGGCTAACGTGCCTCACTGTCGGGCGGTCACCTAGTGTCGAGTCAAAGATCGCCCCTAGGGCTTGTGATCTCTTATTTGGGTCTAGCCCGCTTGTTTTGTGGGCTTTAGTATCCATGGGCCTTAGGGCCCACATATCTCGATACTTGGCCCAACCATAGATTATCATGAATTGATCACAATGAAGACACTCAATGCTTACTATTTATTGACATGTGTTTGGCAACAAGTGTACTGTCAGATATTTGGTGAAGCTAATTGGTCAATGTTAACTAATATCATTGTATAGACTCAATACCTGATGCACGATAGAACAGGGTTTCGTAATCGGAGGATAATTGACTATTCAATATCATGATAGGGCATGTTTAGGATGAGTTTACTTGATATTCTCCCACTTCCCCACTCACTAATATGATGTTCAGCAGCATAATTGTCCACTCTTGTCTGTTGTCTAGGATGAGTATTAGAACCAACTGAGTCTTTTTTTAGTTGAGTAAAAAACTAAAAAGTTGCATATTTCATGAGTTGAGCTGACTGTGCTGAGTTTTAGAACCAACTTTGTCTTTTCCCTCTCATTTACTAAAGACTGAATGTGCTGAGTTGGTGTTTGTAGGAATGGGTCGAGCTAAACGAAACCAACCAACCAACATCCTCTAATGCCAACTTGAAGCATCCTCCCCCCAACGACAACGCCAAACCAATCAAGGACAGGCATGTCAACCATTCTTCACCTCCACCACAGCCGAAGGCTCAACTTGGAGGAGGGGAGCTGCACGAATCCCTCCAACTACCTGGCGAACATAGGAAGGCTATGGGATGCTTCTTCTCCTCCCATTTGGATAGCAAAGATGTTTTGATTAGGGTATCCTCGTCGTTGTCCCATATTCTCTGTTCGTTTGCTCAAAAAGTGAAATGAAAATGGACGTCATGAATTCACATTTCACAAATTATGGAATTCATATACCATGCCATGAAATCCTTGATTCTCTCATTTGGTCGTACTTTTCCATTATCATTATACTTCTATATTTCATATCTGTCGCATTACATCTTTACAAAAATTGCTTCCACAAAACATTGTCAAACATTATTTATTCATTTCCATCACATTCCATGGAAACTTTAATGCATTCATTACCTTCACAAACGAAAAGGGAAAAACTAATGTGGAAATATGGGACAACCAAAAGACACTCCCCTTGACTTCTGAACAATACAACCAGTCTTTGCCCCTTGTCCACCATTTTCCAATTGAAGCTTACTATAAATTGCCAACCCCAACCCTCCCCACCAAAACAAACAAACCATTACTGTATATAAGTTCTCTCCACCCGCCATTGATCAGTCCTTATGGCTTCAGGATTGGGCTTCCAAGTCCTGGCAACTCTGTCTCTTGCTCTGGCTCTCACCTGCCTCCATCCCACCCACGGTAAAAAAAAATGCAACAAATTACCCCCTACCCCTTACTTTTTACCCTTTTCTCGTCGGAAGAAGATTCCGTGTCGTTTAAGAGGATTTTCAATTGTCTTGTCGATGCGGTTTTGCTGCAGGGGAAGAAACGATCATAACATGCGAGAAACTGGAGCAAGGCGCGTGCGCGTACGCTGTCTCGTCGACGGGAAAGCGGTGCGTGCTGGAGAAGCGCGTGAAGAGGGGAGGGCAGGAGGAGTACAACTGCCGGACGTCGGAGATCGAGGCCGACAAGCTGAAGAACTGGGTGGAGACGGATGATTGCATTAAATCCTGCGGGTTGGAGAGGAAATCTCTGGGGATCTCGTCGGATACCCTCCTCAAGCCTGGACTCACGCGCCACCTCTGCTCTGCTCAGTGCTACGATGCCTGCCCCAACGTCGTCGACCTTTACTTCAACCTCGCCGCCGGTGAAGGTACCACTACTAAATAGATGTTGCCTCTTGGCCTATGGGCCGAAATGGATCTTTAATGGGCTTATTTTGTGGGCCTGACTCGCTTTGATTATTTGTCGCAGGGGTTTCCCTACCGAAGCTATGCGCGGCCCAAGAAGGGAAAGGGCGGAGGGAATTGACGGCCGATATTAAGAGCTCAGGCGGCCTTCTTATTGCGCCGGGCCCAATTCAGGCGATGAGGTACATGGTGGCACCGGCAACGCCGCCGGTACCGGAGCAACCGCCACCACTGAGGCGGGAGACGGGCAGTTTCGCCCCGGGGACTATCTCACCACTACCAAGCTATTAGTTTATCCATCAACGGAGTGATGAAGCTTATTAAGCACGTTATATGCGATATACAAATTACGAGTGGGAGAGATTAATTATATTGATAGAATTACGATGTTTAATTAGAGTATCAGCGAACGAAGGAATACAAAGAAGAAGCAGCAATGAGGATCCAATCTATTATGGCCGCTCTGCTTCACTATAAAGACTTTGTAGTGTTTCGAATTATCATATCACCTATATAAGATTTAAATTTTATATAATTATATACCATCAGTGTCCATTTCATTAAATAACCTAGTAATCAAACTTATTTTAGTGATTAGCTAAATATACTAAATCATAGTATATGAAGAATTTGAGATAATCAACATCAGCAAGAGTTGGTGGTTAGTTTATGCCAAGAACACAACACAAACATGTGACACTAGTTGATGATATTTTAGTAGTATCAAATTAGTTGGTGGCTAATTTATTTTAACAATAAGACGACAGCATGTGTTAGTAGTTGCAGTATGCGTGTACCATGATGAGACTGTAGCTTGGAATACGCCTTGATTCCTTGTAAACTGACAAGAACACAACACAAACAAGCATTTGTTGAGGCGTGATAATAGAAAATGAATTTGATACTACTAAAATATCATCTGTAATTGTTAGTCGCATGCTTCTAATTAGATACTTCACAACGAGTTATTCTATAACTTGCTTTTTCTCGTGAATATATGTTCAAATTATTGACAATTAACGATGGTTAGGAATTACCTCAAAGGGTAAGCTTGTGATTTGCATACAGTGTTGAATCCTAAAGGCAAGCAAGTATCAGCAAAAATGTTGGCCTTCTGGAATCTGAAAGGGCATAGATATCAAAATAGAGCTGATTGTCATTAGGGACTAATTAAGATTAGGATTAAGAGAATAACTGTACCATAAACCTTATTAGTCTCAGCAGACATAAGCATCACGAGGCATGAAACACTGCCGCTTGGCAGACAGATCAGCCCTCCACCAGACACCATCCAAATAGTTTTTGAAAAGTCATTTATAAATCGTCAATTTGAGTTTCCCAATGACCAATCCTCCATTTCAATTTGGCTTCTTCTTTCTTCCCCTTCAGCTCGGTGGCCTTTTTTTTTTCTCTCCTTTCCTTGCTATAATAAGAGCAGAACTGAATTTCCGATAACCACTCGTTCGTTTACTTCCACAAAAATGGCGACTCAAACACTCACGGGACTGCTGAAGCACGTTGCCAATGAGTTCCCCGACCGCCGCGCCCTGTCCGTTTCCGGCAAACTCGACCTCACCCACGCTCGCCTCGATGAACTCGTGGAACGCGCCTCCTCTCGCCTCGTCTCCGCCGGCATCAAGCCCGGCGACGTGGTCGCGCTCACTTTCCCCAACACCGTCGAGGTACTACTTGTTCTGATTTCCGCCTCTGCTCTGTTCGCTTTGCGGTTGCGAATTTAGTTGGATTCTGGATAGGAAGAAGTTGCAGATTTGGGGATTTTGAACTTGCCTGTTTGGTTGCTGAGAAAATGCCAGAGAAAGAATCCGTGAGAAGAATTGGTTGTTTCTTAGGTATTCATTTTTTTGCTTTTTTTGTTGTGATATGATTGTGCAGTTCGTTGTGATGTTTCTGGCCGTGATTCGCGCCAGAGCAACAGCGGCGCCGCTCAACGCCGCCTACACGGCGGAGGAATTCGAGTTCTACCTATCCGACTCGGAATCCAAGCTATTGCTCACTTCTCGCGACGGGAACACGGCAGCCGAATCCGCCGCTTCGAAGCTCCAAATTCGCCATGCCACCGCCGCTCTCTCCGTACAAGATTCCGAGCTCGCTCTCTCTCTTCCTCCGTCCGAGTCGGGAGCTAACTCGCTGGACCAGGTAGTGAACCAGCCCTCCGATGGGGCGCTCTTCCTTCACACCTCAGGAACCACCAGCCGCCCCAAGGGCGTCCCATTGACTCAGCTCAATTTAGCCTCTTCAGTTCAGAACATCAAATCAGTCTACAAACTCACCGAATCCGACTCGACGGTGATTGTCCTGCCATTGTTCCATGTCCACGGTTTGTTAGCTGGGCTACTGAGCTCATTAGCAGCCGGAGCTGCCGTCACTCTTCCAGCTGCAGGAAGATTCTCGGCTTCAACATTCTGGCAAGACATGCTCAAGTACAATGCCACTTGGTACACAGCAGTTCCCACCATCCACCAGATCATCCTCGACCGTCATGTTAGTACCCCGGAACCGGTTTACCCCAAGCTTCGTTTCATTCGGAGCTGCAGCGCCTCCCTCGCCCCTGCGATCATGGCTCGGCTCGAGGAGGCGTTTGGGGCGCCTGTTCTGGAGGCGTATGCAATGACTGAGGCAACACATTTGATGTCGTCGAACCCTTTGCCGGAAGATGGGCCACACAAGCCCGGATCGGTTGGGAAGCCAGTGGGACAAGAGATGGCGATCCTGAATGAAATTGGTGAAATCCAAGGTCCCAACTCGAATGGTGAGGTCTGTATCAGGGGTCCTAATGTGACCAAGGGGTACAAGAACAATCCTGATGCTAACAAGAGCGGATTTCTTTTTGGGTGGTTCCATACTGGAGATCTTGGATACTTCGATTCCGATGGGTATTTGCATCTTGTGGGAAGGATTAAGGAGCTTGTCAACCGTGGAGGTAACTTCCCTTCCCTTTTGATTAATTGCTTACTTTTAACTTCCTAAAGAAGGTCATGACTTGTCCTAATCAACAACTGTGAGTTGGGTCTTCCTCAATTATTCCCGTCTTGCTCTAAATGTCATTCCTTTATAAGCCACTAAGTAGTGGTTGGGTGATTCATAGTCTAGTACACCAAAAACGGATACTTTTTAGGCTGGTTCACAGGAAAGTAGAGTTTACCACCTCATGCTCCCTCTACTTCTAGTTGATGCTGACAAAGAAAGGTTTCTTGGCCCCATATGCAAGATGCTTTCAGAAAGTTTGGCCAAACTGGCTTAGTTAAATGCTGGGTTGGCATGCTTGTACTGATGTTTTCCTTTATGCGACTAAGCTAAGCTCCCCATGATTGACGCTTGACAGGATTTAACATTGTACTTCAATTGTATTGTCTTTAGAGAACTGATGCTTCATCTCCACAGTACTGTCTAAATCATCATCATATACTGCTGTGATTAACAGGGGAGAAGATATCTCCAATTGAAGTGGACTCGGTTCTTCTATCTCATCCAGACATCGCTCAAGCTGTCTGTTTCGCGGTCCCTGATGAAAAGTACGGCGAAGAGGTAAAACAGCCCCCCTCCTTTCCCAATTGATTGACATTTGCTAGTAAGTAGACTATTACGTCGAGCTAATGCATCAGTCTGCTCTTTTGTCAACCAACAGATCAACTGTGCTATCATCCCAAGAGCAGGCTCGAAGATCGACGAGGCAGAAGTGCAGAGCTTCTGCAAGAAAAACCTCGCTGCTTTCAAGGTCCCCAAGAAGGTGTTCATCACCGACGACGTCCCCAAGACCGCCAGTGGCAAGATCCAACGGAGAATTGTCGCTGAACATTTCCTTTCCTCCTAAATCAGCCTCCAACCATGGTGCGTACTGCATAGAAAATGTATGTTATCTTAATGTGTACCCAAATTTGGAAGAGTGGGTATTTATTTCTTGATCTCGTTTCCATCTCTTCCATTGGCTCATCCTTGTGTAATTCATCATTTTTTTCTCTAGCTGGTTTGTGCTTGTCGAGTTGTCGTATCATAAAAATCAAAACGGCTCCCTTTTTATTCTCGAGACTGAGGTTCGTTCTCTTTCTTTGTTTCATTTTAGAAAGCCGGACGAAAGATGTCCTCGTCCATAATACTAATAGATGGTACAATGGTAATTCCCATAACATAGTGCAACAACCATTGTTCCAATTTAGGATCGCACACATTGATTCACTACAACCTCCCAATTCGTTCAAAAAGATTCCCAATTTTCGTGGCAAACAAACCCTAGGAGTTGTCATTGTCTTTCTATATTTTTGATGATGTTGATTGCCATCTTTGAAACTAGGTTCAACTCAACTACTATGATCTCTTAGAGTCAAGCCCTCTCGAAACGAATAGTAGCCCCTTTGAGCTTTGAGCTTGTAATAGAACATGCTCCCAGATTGCATGAAAACGCATCCAAGCACTTACCAAATCAGTCCTCGATTAATTGTTCTGCAGCAGTCGAACCCGCCTTGTCAATAATCATAGCATCTGTTTACACTTGGATACACCCTTATCTTGGAGGAGTCCAACCAATCACCTTAATCACCTTGACTTTTTTACAAATTTTGAAACTCAGACTAGGGCTTAATATGGCATGCTTGTGAATGTTAAGTCGTGCTTTGGCTCTACTAATCAACCCAACCTCAGAGTACTCGTATCGCCTACATTGCTATTACTTGAACCAAGTTTGAAAGTCGAGCCTGGCATCACGACCTTTCACCATGTATCAGTAATAACTCAAGAAACCCTTGATATTTTTGCAATTCCTGAGTATGTGTACCAAATTTTCTGTCTCCCCTGAGCAGTGGTTGCAATCCCCTTTGTTTGTGATCTTCCAACTTTTCCTTTTTGCATTTGTAAGCAAGGGGTTATGTGAAACCAGCCAAAGGAAGAGTATAACTCTATAAGGGTCGTACCATTCAATTATGTTCATTCCTAGATCAGTTCTTCCACCATCTCTCCTGCCACAAGGTTGTAGGCCGACCTTAACCTAAATCTCTCATCCTTTTCGACCCCCCATATAGTTCGGTCTTTGTCAAGATCATGGTTTTGAACCTCCGTACCTATAATTGAACCAAAACTTCATAGGCAAGAAAAGGTCTCTCCCCATATCATTCAACTTAACTAGTAAACTGTTCGAACACAATTGAGTGATATTCCTCTTCAGACAAGTCAAGGAGGGCAAAGTCTTCGAGCACAGCCTTCAAGGCAGCCTTTCCATTTCCTATGCTTCTAGTTAACCCACTCCTCGTGAATGCAATTGCCTTCAAGATGGCTCCCTAAATCTCCCATCCTTTTCGATGCCCCAGGTAGTTAAATCTTCGCCAAGATAATGGTTTTGGACCTCCATACTTGCAATTGAACCAAAACTTCATAGGCAAGAAAACCTTAAGCCTCTCCCAATTCAACCAGAATTGAGTGATTCTCCTCTTCAGACAAGTCAAGGAGGGCAAAGTCTTCGAGCATAGCATTCAAGGTGGCCTATCAATCTTTTATCCTCCAAGTTAACCCTATCCTCATGAATGGCATAGCCTTCAAGATGTCTTCATAAGTCTCCCATCCTTTTCGACTCCCCAGGTAGTTTGATCTTCGCCAAAATAGGTGTTTTGGACCTCCATACCTACAATTGAATCAAAACTTCGTAGGCAAGAAATCTTAAACCTCTCCCAATCTCATTACCTTCACCAGTAACGCATTTAGCCACAATCAAGTGCTTCTCCTCTTCAGACAACTCAAGGAGGGCAAAGTCTTTGAGCACAACCTTCAAGGTGGCCTTTTCCCTCTCTTATGCTCCAAGTTAAGCCTCTCCTCGTGAATGGCATAGCCTTCAAGATGGCTCTCCAAAGATTTTAGTGGTTAATGATTTTCATAGCATTGATTTTCCCTTCCTTGTGGTGGAAATATTTCCCTTGCATAACATGAACACACAAGTCATTCTCATTGTTAAGGATATGCCAAACAAGCTTAACCTTATAGCCTAGATTAAGAACTCATAGTTGAGCTGAGGCCAAGACTTCATTGACTCAGGTTTACAATTAGTTTCCCAAGCAACTAAATGAACCTTTCTCTTCAGACGAGTCAACGAGGCCAAAGTCTTCAAGCACGGCCTTCAAGGTGGCATTTCCATCTCTTATGCTCCAAGTTAACCCTTTCCTCATGAATGGCATAGCCTTCAAGAGGTCTCCCTAAATCTCCCATCTTTCTATGCCCTAGGTAGTTCGGTCTTCGCCATGATCATGGTTTCGGATCTCCAGACCTGCAATTGAACCAAAACTTCATAGGCAAGAAAACCTTAAACTTCTTCCAATCTCATTCACCTTCACTAGTAACCCATTTAGCCACAATCGAGTGTTTCTCCTCTTCGGACAAGTCATGTTGGGAAAAATCTTCGAGCACTGCCTTCAAGGTGGTTTTTCTATCTCTTATGCTCCAAGTTTTTTTATAATGGGGAGATAAAATTAAGGAAAGAAAAGTACAAGGGTACAAGGGGAATACGAAAGCGGATCAAAAGATTTGATCCCTGAAAAACATACGCAAGAACAAAATGGGCCTGACAGCCTAGCAAAAGGAGAAATGGATACACAAGAACATTAACACCCCGAAACAGGGGAAGAAAAGAGAAGACCAAACGGAAAAAAGAAGCAAGCTCGCAATATCAATCCAAAGAAGATAATGGGATCACGAGAGCCCTGCTAAAACCCGCGGGAACCGAAATAGGGCACAAACTATGCGCCAGGGACAACCAATCCAATCGGTGTTGATCACTAAGGACACCAGTTGTGCTGACACAGCTAATGAGCGATTTATAGATTTATGGAACACAACCTGCCAAGTCTTGTGCTCGTCTTTGAAGGTTCTAGCATTCCTCTCCTTCCAAATCTCCCAAGCAAAAGCATGGAAGAGGACTTTCCTGAACTACATCTTCTAAGAGTAGTGTTGGTTTTCGATGGCCCATCCCTTGATGATACTAGCAATGTCCACAGAGAAAGGCCCCACCGCTTCAACCAACTGTTACAAATTTTCTCTCTTTGTCTCTTATTCTCCAATTTAACCCTCTCCTTATGAATGGCATAGCCTTCAAGATGGCTCTCCAAAGATTTGAGTGGTTAATGGTTTTTGTAGCATTGATTTCCCCTTTCTTGTGATGGAAATATTGCATAACATGAACCCACAAGTCATTCTCGTTGTTTAAGATATGACAAACAAGCTTAACCTTATAGATGAGTTAAGACTCATAGATCATAGCTGAACTGAGGCCAACACCCATGATTTGTCTTTGCTAACTAACTCTCCAAAAGCCTCGCAGAAGCTACCAATGAAGTTTAAAATACACTCAGCTTGCTCAACATTCACATCGGTAAAAAAGCTAAGTCATCTACGGGGGGAAAAGTGAGAAAAAGGATGACCTCCAGCAGACAATACGATAGGCTTCCATGTCTTATCCTTAATTTTTCTATGGTATTGCTGAGTCTTTCAACATAAAGGGTATATATATGGAGAAAGGGGTCATCCCTGTCGAAGTCTTTTGGTGGGTGTGAATGATTCAGTTTCTCCATCGTTCCAAAGAATTTGTATATCCACCGAAGTGACACACTGCATTATGATGTTGACGCAGGAATTTGGAGTCTAGCAAACTCTAGAGTCTCCTGAAGGAACTCCCAGTCAATTCTATCGTATGATTTTGTCAAGTCCACCTTGAGGAGTATAGTTCCTTTCTTATCCGCTTCCTTTGTCATGGAATGGAAAAATTAGTGCATAATAAGTGACTCGTCCCGAATACCACAATAAAACTCTCAATTAAGTCCCAAGTATAAACCTCAATTGGGTGCAATATAGGGCAAGTAAGTTTAAATGTCGACCCAGGTCGTTACATGTACCCCTACTTCGATTGTTTGTAACATTATCTAGCGATTGGTTTTTTGGTGAAAACAACGATCTATAGCTAAAATATTTGGAAAAGTAAATGGATTTGATACTAATTGAGAAGGCTTCACCCTGGGTTTGCTCCTCCTAGCTAACAATTATGACTTGTCGGATCGAATGGTCATGTGTGGTTAGGTGGTTGTAAACCATAGGGAAGTGCAACAAGTAGCCAAATGCCACTCTCTCAGACTCTAGGTCGAGGGAATTTGATTCAAGCCACCAACGTGACTCTCTCGACCTATTGACTAAGCCAAGACTTCACCCTCGAATCGGAGTTCGGACGGCCACTCACAACCTAACCTTAGGTGCTAATACGAACGAAGAGGGTTGCCCTATATTAACCTAGATAGGAGACAATGGATTGCCTAAGAAAACCTAGCTTTACAAGCCTCTTTCAAAGAAAGGGGGTTTTCTCTCTACCTAGGTTAGAATGGAAAATAGATTGATAGGCTTTCGCACAACATAATCATTCATGAAAATAGCTCCACATTCACATTAAACACATCCACACACAAATCATTCAATCCATACAAGCATTCACATAATTGTATCTACGGTTTACAAACACCCAAGAGAAAGAAGGGACTACTCCATGCTAGGAGAAGGGAAAACACAAGAGAGAAGAAGGAAACCCATCAATGAGATGCTAGTCATGTTGAAGATATCCTCCTTTGGTAGAGGAATTCTCATATCCTTGCTTGAAGATGAACCCTAGCTTCTCCTATTCTTTGGTTCATCACTTTCTCACTCTAGAAATCTGAAGAAGAAGAAGAAGTTTCTCAGACTAGGTCTCTCTCCTTATTCTCCTTCAGCTCAACCTCCTATTATACCCAGATCGGGATCAGATCACGGTCTCAATTCACAACCATGAACTGAAAGCACGGACCGTGATCTCAAGTCAAAATGCGTTGCATCACTAAGTCCAGTTATTGGGCAGCGGCCTGAGTTTTGGTCTTATGACCGTGAACGGACTTGAGTCCAGTGAAAATGATTTAAGCTCTGGATTCCTGGCGGTTCACGGCTAGCTGCTCCTTAGACCGTGAACACATAGCTCCAACCATGATCTGCTGCTGCTTCCCCCCTTTGACTTGATTTCTCTCCCTTTCATCCAACTTTTGACTCAAGGGTTGTTCCACCTGCCATAGTCTGAAAAACACCGAAACAAAGCAAAACCCGACGTAAACCCAAACCTCCAAGAGTAAAATGCCTCAAACGACTAAGGAAACCGGGGTAAAAAGATGTACAAATGAGCCCGAATCACTCCCCCACACTTAGACGTCTGTTTATCCCCAAGCAAACCATTTTCAACCTAGGTGATATCTCAACCTAACAAAATAACTTGAGGACAAATCAAAAGGTACCAAGGGGTGAATCTCAATGACTATTGGGCCTCAACACATGAACCGCCTCAAACAATACTG